TTAAAGCCCAGCCGGGCTGCATTCTGGATGAGCTGTAGGGGTCAGATGGCATATGTAGGAACACCAGCCGGGCATGAGATGACAAGAACCTGGACCAGAACCTGCGCTGCCTTCTTGATGAGGAATAGACGTATCCTCCTGATGTTGCGGAGAATGAATCTGCAGAAGCGGGTTGTGGCAGCAGTGTTGGAAGTAATGGAAAGCTGGAAAAATTGGAATTATTGGAATATTCACCATTTGAACTCAGACTGAGTCTGTTTGACAGCCGAATGCACATTTAAGAGGAAAACATTTACCAATGTATTTAAACTTATTCTGTGTAACCACTCATCTATTCATCAACACTCTAATTAAAGACACCGAGCTAAGTGCTGCAATTTACCACTTTGTAAAAACATCTGTTGCAATTAATTATTTATTCACATACACTGTATTTAGCATCTGACATGGGCACTGAAGAGTGTAACATGATGTGTAGGTTCACCTTCCTCCCCCCGCCCCCAACTCACTCACTCACCCACTAGTGCAGTGCGGGCACAGGGGAAAAAATACTGGGTAACTATGGAAACACACCACAGTGATTCTCCAAGGCAGGCGGCGCTTTCCTTTAGAGGCCTTGGGTTAACAGGATTAGAGGGGATTCACAGACGAGACCCCAAAGAGCAGGGGCTCCCATCTGCTCGCTTCCACTCTGATCTCTTCTGCTCAACTCAGAAAGAGAGAGAGATACTAGAATCACAAAAAACATTCATCACAATGCAAAAAAGGATTGTACATTCAATACAGCAGAGGCCTCTATGGCAATGCTGAGTTTTGCTAAGTGTCACCCTTTAATCCTCAGTCAGTACCTCATGCACCCTGTGTTTGGTACCTATATCCCTCTCTCTGAAAGCTTGTTTGCATGCAGAGATGAGCACAACTTATATTTTGGCTGGGACAGAACTCAATCTGCTAATCAGTATTGCCAAAAAAGCTCTATATAGTCAGTATTGCACATTGTAGACAAAGCCAAGCATTGTGATAGACAAAGAACAGATTCTGAGCTTTAACATTAGACTAAGTGAGTCCGCCTTGTTTAAACCATCTGGAACAAGAGTTTACCCCAGGGCATGAAAATTTAAACGCAGCTCTGTACCCATTGGTCTACAGAATGTTGGACCTGATTCTGCACAATGGTAGAATCATTTACTGGAAAAGGAGAGGGGGGGTGATTTGTTGTTAAAATTCACTTTTATTTGCAGACAATGACATCCTGACATCCTCATAGCTAACTAATAATAGCTGGTATATGGTGGGCTGTGGGCTACCATAGCAACAGAGGCAAAAAATGAATGGAGGAGGATATTGCAGCCGCACCCATCACTGGAGCAACCAACCAGACTGGAAAACCCGTACAGACATGGGGAGGCACTGAGAGAGCAGCTAGTGAATAATTAGTGTCAGGAGGGCAACGCCTGATGTGGTTCAGCCAACCAGTTCACTTCATGCTGTTGTTGCAGGTGATTTTGTGTTGCTGTGCAAACAGCAAAAGACAACATATGCAAACTGGCTGATAATTATTGCATAAAGTGTTGCTATGCCCTTTAAAGGGGCACTTCTGTACGTGTCACTTCTGCATACTTTTCAGCCTGTAAAGGAACTGTAAAATCAGAGATGATGGTGTCATCAGTTATCTCAGCTTGACTTGGTGCATGGAGTTTGAAACATGTGGGCATTTACCAGGCAGAGAGAGTCTAATGACAGAGGCTATTGAGTCTCATTGTGATAGCATTTTTGGAAATCTTTGGACAAATATGATATCTCCATCTCTGCATTGTTGTTAACCTATTGTGATATCAGAGTACAGCGTTGAAGCCCAGAGTTTGGCATCATGGGCATCACAAGATGGCTTTTTGGAGAGAGCAGTGGTGACGTAGCAGTGCAGGAAACAATGTTAGCTGACCTGGTCATACACATTCTCGTATTCTAGATAAACATTACACTAAAACGTTTCTAAAAAGATTTGACATGAGAAATAGTCAATGCAGTAACAGAATCTTGATTCATATTCGAGCTGGATGAACTCACTGAGAATGACCTGTCAATCACAAGGTCGCCACGCCCTAAAGCATACCCTGCTTTATGGTCTATTTTACTCTAAATGGGACCATCATTTACTAAATGAACATCATGCTGTATGGAAGAAGACTGAAACTAGAGATTGAGACCATAAACTCATTAGGAAACTGTTTACTGAGCTCATAAATCAAGTGAGAAGTCAGCTCATTTTTCCATAAGGCTCAATACTATCAGCTTCTTTATGCAGCCCATGGAGCTGCCCTCTGCTGGTCATTGCATATTGTCTTCATTACACAGACCTGGAAGCTCTGTCCACAGATGATATACTGTCAGTGGTTCTGACCATTATTTGTAAGTTACTTGCAGGTTTCCAATATAACAGCCCTGAGAAAACGGGACAGCTAAGCTTTGAGACAAAATAATAACAATAATTCAACTAGCTATTATTGTCTGTGGACAAATGTCTCATGTTAATCTGTTCAGTTTAAGAGCTTCCTCTGAAGAAAACACAGTTCGATAGTAAATTTCTTATCAAGCCTTATCATAGGCATCATATTAGTGGTGGACAATGGTTGCACCATGTCCAATTGGTCACACGTCGACAAATCCATTGATGTGTCTAACTGTGGTTGTCGTAACGACTTACTCAACTTTAATGTCCACAACTGCTTGCTGTGTGATAACGCATCAAATTAAAACGTTTTCTTTTTTAAGCTTGGTCTAATGGAATGCCCTGAAATCAGAATTTCCTGCTGCTAATAGAAATATAAGGTTGCCTATAATAACTCCCCATAGTAATCACTTATTACTCACTTGCTGAGTGATCATTTCATATGCTGATCTCATCTGCACACTAGGATAGGATTGGACCATGACTAAGCAATATGAACAACAGCAGGATGGTTATGCAAATTGTAATTGTGCTCATTATACCCTTTGTGATGGGCGCTGGATGTTTGGTTGAACTTCTAGTTAAATATCACTGGCTGTTTAGCTGTACTCATTTGATGATATAGAATTCAGACATTAAAAATGTGATTTGAGTAAACATTAGATTATGCCGACAGAAATATTGCTAAATAATGCATTAATTAGCTTTAAAATGACATAACATGTTGTCCTTAAATTTTGTGACTGTCACATTTGGTAGCTCAAATGTTAAAAATGCAACATAAGACCTGCAAAATCTTGGCTTCTACATAGATTCACCATATCCCTCATGAATCATAAATGGAGTACATGTATGTGGTGAGAATATACAAGCCACTTATCCGATCATATCAGCTCAGTGGTTGAAAACATTAGTTTTCTCGAAGGAGGAGATGAATAACAACAAATTAGAATTCCTAGACTGTGCAGACTGTGCTTCCTCTGATCCTCACTGCTGAGAATCTGCTTGTAATTCAGGATTCAAACCTTAGCCAAAGGCCTTTGTAAACTTGTGGTCACCCTGATTGGGCATTTCTTAAAACCTACATTACATCCAAAGAAAACACCAGATTATACAGAGCACCAACACAAACAGAACCACATTCACCCTTTGTGTGGCTGCTGACTCTAAAAACAAGCAGAGAATTTGTTCCACAAATGTTGTTCTAGTATTTTTCGACCCTGGCAATAAAGTGATCAGTGGAGAAATGTTGACAGTGCAGTGAAGTGCAGTATGGAGTGTGTACACCTTTACTTTGGCAAAACCAAACAACCCCTTTACAAAGAATGCATTGGCTGACCTGAGCAAACAGCTCTGGTTTTCATTTAGCGCTTTTCACCCATTCACAGTTTTGGGGATCAACATGTTTGACTGTCAGTCGAAACTGTCAGGTTTTATTCTTATTATTATCATCATCATCTAAATCTAAAGTATTATGAAATAAAACTATTGCCATATTGAATTACAATTACATCCCTGATAAAGATGAATAATGTGTCTGACATTTCTTAAGTAAACATAAGGATCCTGTGTGTAGGATATATTGTCAAATGGAAAATAATATTCATAGGTATGTTTTCATTCACATTGATATAGGACTCATTGTGTTTTTGTTACCTTAGAATGAGCTGTCTACATACGCCATATGCTGCTGTCTGGCAAGAGATACAGAAGTATCTGCTGCCGTACCACCAGATACAGTGCAGCTTCTTTCCTCAGGCTGTGAGACATCCTGCGCACTCCACCATAAATTAATTTTCATGTGTAGCATGAAGGGACTACAACTTACATTTCATTGTGCAGAATGAGAAATAAAAGAACCTGGACCCTTGATAGGTCTCTTTCAGCAGGTCAAAATATTGATGAATCCCAGCCAACCTTTTGGCTTTTTTTTTCGAGTGTAGATTCTTTTCTGATCATTTTGATATGAGGACAGACACTCCCGGTTTCAGCACACTGCTAGCCAAATGTTTACGCCCTGAAGTGTATTAATAGCTGACGACATGATCCTATTATAAATAGTTACACCTTCATGGTCTCATCTGAATACTAGGCATTATGGAGCACTAATAAGTCCATTCATCACCAGGAGTAAAAGAAAAGGAGGGATGGAGGAAGAAGCAGGGAGAGAGGAAGATGAAAGGAGAGGGTGAAAGAAGTGAGTAGACTGGTGAGGGAGGGAGTGGAGAGTGAGGGAGGCAGTGTGTGTGTGTGTGTGTGTGTGTGTGTGTGTGTGTGTGTGTGTGTGTGTGTGTGTGTGTGTGTGTGTGTGTGTGTGTGTGGGGGGCATGCGTATCATAGAGAAACCCGATGGTTGTCTTCCCCTCACTTGAACTCAGACTTCACACGAGGGAAGCTCCTCAGGACCTGTACCTCAGCTTCACTCTTTTCTATCACTCCATCTCTTCCTCTCCTTTCCATCTTTCTCCCCTCTAGTTAGCAGACCTCCATCCCCCTCCCCATTAGTTGCTCACCATGCTCCTTCTCTACAACTGTTTCCTCTCTCTCCTAGAATCGATCTATCGCCGCGGGGCCAGAAGATGGAGGAAACTCTACCGAGTCAACGGACACCTCTTCCAGGCCAAGCGCTTTAACAGGGTGAGTTTCTTCAAACCTCACTAGCAGACACTCTAGATGGGGGAGTAAATGCAGTAATGCCTGAACAGTGCAGTTCATTGAGCCGTCTTTGCTGGGGTATACTAGAATTATGACAATCTTGGTGTCACTGGGAGACACAGGAAGTTTTAAAAAGGATATTAGCGTTTTGCTTTATGATAAGGTAGAGTTTGGTCAGAAGATGTTGTTGATTTTTGAGATGTGAGGTTAGGCTTAGGTTTCTCCCTAACCATAACCAAGTGTTTTAGTTGCCTAACCCAGAAGATACCTTAACTAAGTTATTTTTCATAACCACAATCTTTCCCTAACAGTGACCATACTGTAGTTGCCATGTGCAGATAGCACAGAAATTCAAAAATGTTGTAATCCTAGATTTAGCAAAATGGTCAAATATGAATGTCATTTTCTGTCGGTAGGGTTGGACATGTGACATGTAATTTAAGAAAATAAAACACTTATACTGTTAAATTGAACACATTTTTAAGTGCCTTTAGATGCCCTGTGGTTCATCAAATACCTCAGCACTATGTTTGCATCTGTTCCAGTCAGAAACTGGCTCATGATGATCATTTCCAGGTCAGAAAACAGTCAGTTACTTTAATTTAATGAAGTACTCATAACCATAATCTTTACCTTACCCACACTTGTAGTGTATGCTTCTAAACCTGTGCAGAGTGTCTTTATGTGTGGAGTTTACAGTACAGCATGTCACATACTGCAGATAAATGATATATGACAGGTAATCAAGTCACTGCTCCAGCTAAGCTATCTGGATATTGATGCATAATTCAGTGTGTCCCAGTTATGGCTTGTTTAGTAGTTGTCTTATCTCAGCTCTCTGGTCCATGCGACACACACGCACAGTGTGTCAAGTACCTGGATGCACATGTGTGCTTTCATCATTTCCCTGCCAAGATGCTAAAGAGCTCTAGCTACTCACCCTGCTTGTCTGAAACAGGACTTGAGCGTTTAAAGTGTTCTTATTCTGTAATGCACAATGGCCACTAATGCTGTTTCAATCAGGCCTTAAGTACCTAATGCGTTTCTATGAATGGGGCGAAAGAAGATCAGGTCCTACTGCTGCTAGAACCAGTGTTTTCCTGTACGTTGTGGCCTTAAGTGAATCGTGTTTGCTTTAGTCAGATCACATCATATTGTCCTTGAATATTTTTTTGTCGTTTGTGTGTAAAGGTCTAACGTTTGAGCAGCAAATACACGCAAGTCAGATCCCTTTATTTACCAGAACAGATGACATATTTGTCAGTACAGTAGAGATGTATGATACATGGGGCACGTTGTAAGATAAACATTTATTGTCACTGTTACTATTTTCTTTCCTTTTAGGATGAGATATCTCCCATGATTGCTATAGTCTTAATGTCTTGGCAGACAGTAGATAAGCTTAGTGCAGTGGCATCTTGCTGACACAGCACTTTTCTCAAACATCTACTCTTCGAGGTCATTATAGCACAACTGATGCACTGAGGAGCCTGGCATATTCAATAAAAGGCATATAGACATATAGTTGTACATTAGTACTTTCAGCTAAACCAGTAATCATAAAGGCTGGGCCATAGAGAACTATGATCCAAAACCACTCATCATAATGACTGGACTGCTGCTTTGTAGAGGTAGAGACTCCAATGTAACTGATCATTTTCAATCCTGTCTCCTACAAGCTACATACTATATGTACCACTAATTTGATTTACCACATATCAAATATTCTGGGGGAAACTTCATTACTGCCTTTGTTACACTCTCTTTTCCCAATTCAGGATGTGTGCCGTTTGCACAGAAGGTATACACAAATCCAGGGAAGTACCGGAAGTAAAGAAGTCACCATTACTGCGGTGGCGTCTCCCTATAGTATGCGTGCATTTAAATGTAAGCTGTCCTAAGAAATGTACACTTCACATCTACTTCTCCCTTTATTTCCTATGTTACTTTTACAATGATGTCTAGGAAATCTGGAACTACCTCTTCATCTTTATCAGCAGCTCCAACAGTAGGTTTTTTTTCAGTTCAGTTTAGTTTCAGTTTAGTTTCCAGATTGGATTTTCTCATTTCAGTTTAGTTTTTATTGTTTAAAATGTTCAGTTTTAGTTTAGTTTTTATTAGTTTCAGTGTTACTTTTAGTGTTTTTTATTATAATATGAGCTCAAAAAAGTGGTTAGTAATTGTGCTTTAGTGGACAGATTTCAGAGATTGTAGGAAAGTTAAATATAACAAAATGTTGACAGTGGACTTTTGGCAGATTTGTCCAATATGAATGAAAATGATTATTATTACATTTTAGGAGGCAGGGTTGTAGATTTTTCTGATTTTATTTTTTCTTCTTATAAATTCACTACCTAGCAGTAAGTGTTTGTATTGTATTGATTTTCAGACTAGGGTTTTTCTGACTGTTGTTGCTATGCCAGCTTCCAGGCTTCTGGTTGGTTCACTATGTTGTCCTCAGCATATAAATAAGCCAAGGAGAAGTAGGTCAGGTTTCTCCTCCTTTCTCTGACTCCATCCCTCTCCTCCCTCTCAGTCTCTATATGTTGGTCTCCATCTCTCTCCTCCCTCCTCTCCATGCATGCCGCTCCATCTCCCCCTGATGTTGCAGTGGAGAAAGCTGCTTTGTGGATCCCTCTCATAAGACATAATGGGGTCTCTTTAGCTCCCGTCTGCCACGTGACGAAGCAGAATTCAGTCATCCCTGACAGCTGTTTGCCTCACAGGCGCTCTATTAGTGGGACGACTGACACCAGCCTTTCATGGTTCAATCACGCTGGTTCAAGCAGGCTGCTCAGAGCTAGGAGGGAATCATTTCTACCAGATGTGTTATCAGAATGAGAGGTGAAGTGAGGTTAAGGCGCACAAACAATCTCCAGTGATGCTGGACAGTAATGTTGGTTGGTCCTCCACTTTGGTCCAGACTGAAATATTTCAACAAACACTGGATGGATTCCAAGGACATTTTGTACAAACCTTGGATGTAGAATTCTAAAGACTTTGGTGATTCAGGGATTTAATTTTGACAATTACTGAATGAATTGGGACAAAATTTGTTATAGTCATTGTTACCAGAAGGAGAATCCTAATGGCTTTGGTGATCCTGACTTTTCATATCACAACATCAGGTCACAGTCTGTCCAACAGTTTTCTATTTCCATCGATTTCAGCTGTATTTAGTGCTTATTAGCAAATGTGAATATAAATCCAGGAACTAATCCAGTCTCCTCAACCCTGGGATTCTTGGAATACATTAGCACTCCGACACACTGTCTAACTTGCAATAATACATTTTGCGGGATGAAAGTCTAGCACAGAAAAATTGCAAATAAATGAGGAACTTATTTGCAACTTTTCATCTAATGATCCCTTTCCTAAACACCAGTATCATGGTCAGGGTATCAGTAGTTTTTTTGAATGGGATTTTGGTAGGGATGCTCGATATTGGCTTTTCTGCCGATATCCGATATTCCGATATTGTCCAACTCTCAATTTCCGATACCGATATCACCTGATACCGATATATGCAGGCTTTTTACACCAAAACTGTTAGGTAACAAACATAACATATCTCCTATTGTGGAATTAAAACATTATGCCTAATTTCAATGTGATGCCCCACTGGTAGGGTGGCCATTTCCTTCACATCAAACAGGAGGACACTTTGCATACACGGGGACACGCAAGCAGATATTTGTTTGGTATGATCTGGTTTAAAATTTTAATGTTTTTCCACCAGATTACATAAAGGTGCATACACATACCACATAGCTAATAATAAATATACAAGATACAGCTCATGACAACGTGCTCTTCCAATTCAGATTACATAGGTCTAATAAACATCATACAGAAACTGTGTTTTTATCTGGGGATAAAGGGCTTTACCTATCTACATCTGAGTATGAGCATTTTCAGAATTTCAGTCCAACAACCAATGTTAGCTCACCTTATGTTCTCTGTCGATGAGGGCTTGATTGACAGCCTGGTGGTAGCAACTGTTGTGATGCTTGGCGAATCAACACATGGCTCATTTGAATTTTAAAATTAGCCATGTGTTGATAGGTCAGGACAGGAAAATGTGACCAATGAAATGACTTATTTTGACACACATTTTTAGCCAATAAGTATGAAACTAACGAGGTAATGTGTCAAAAGGCGACCTTTTTAGTTATTTTCTCAAAAAGAGGACAAATGAGTGTCCGGCTTAAGGCTGCACCTGCAGCCGGACAGGGCCTTTAAAAGCCGGACTGTCCGGCCTAAAGCTGGACGAATGGCCACCCTACCCACTGGATGCATACATAAATGCAACATGTCTTTCCAAATGTAAACACTGTCTGTGCAAAATAAGAGAACAACTTCAACTTTCATTGTATTAATACTGAAAAGAGCGCTAAAGCTAATCGCTAGCTAAGCGCTAGCTTTTGTTAATGTGTTTAATTGTATTATGCACCTGAAGGAGTGCTAATGTAAATTCTAAGCCAATTGTTAGTTTGGTTAAGGAACAGCTCAGAGCAGGGTCAAATATTTGAGGTGCATTGCATTTATTTTGTGTTAATATTAAAATCATTCAGCTTTAAATTGTTTGCTTGTTAGCCACAGTTAGCAACCAACCAGTCTAGCGTGTATTTGTTGTTGTTATACGTCATCTAGCGCGCGCCAGTAAACGTCCCATGCTGCGTTCATGCAGGCTCGGAAATGCTGAAGCCTACAGAACAAACATCGGTTATAAAAACCCGATACCGATAATTCCCGATATTACATTTTTTTAGTGAATAGTATCGGAGGGCTGACATTACCGGACATCCCTAGTTTTTGGTTAGATTTTGACGTTGTGTTTTATGAAATAAAATACGTCTAAATCTTTTAACCTTTTGAAACTAGTCTGCCTTTACAGCCCCATTGTGTTTATACTCACACTATTCTAACTCAAACTTTACATTTACGTTGTAAAGTTTTACGATAAGTTTTTTATATAACGT